CACCTGAGTCTATTTTCTTCAGCGGGCTCGTCACCTCTTGCTCCTTCTCTTCCTCATCCGCCAATCCACCCCAACTCCTGTTATTCTTGCGCCAGGATGGTGCATCACTGGCTGACGAGGATCGCCCCGACCACGCCCCCAAACTTCTGCTGCCCGAGCTGCGCCCACTCCGGTATGCTCCGTCGTCCCCCCATCTGCCCCGGACCCCCCGGGATTGCGCCGCGGCATGAAAGCCCTCAGCCATGGCCCAAACTGTCATTTCTTCCCCTTCTTCAGCTTCATCTTATAGGCCTTGTCATCGTGCCCAATGATCCCACACACATAGCAGAATTCAGGTAGGTATTCATACTCAAAGGTGCACCAGTTGTCCTCCTCGTCCTCCCCAGTGCGATCACCTCCCCTTCTCGCCCGATCACTTCCCTCCTCCTCTTGCTCCACCTTGACACCCCTCATCAACGGATTCCTGATCCTCATCCTGACCTTCACACATAAGATCTCCCTACCGCCCTCCCATCCGCTCTGGCCTCCACCTCAAGTACTTCTCCAATTTTCTTACCAATAGTCTCTCCCACCTCCCTGCACATCATTCCAAGAGGTAGGCGCAGGACCCTCACCCAGATCGGTATGGTCTCGAAAGTGTAATCTTCAATCCTCTTTCGCGGCACGAAATCTTCAACCACAAGGAGATCATTGCCAAACTCCCAGAGTCCGCTATCCAAGGCCATCCTCTTACCTGATTCCTGCCCAAAGGTGAAGAGGAAGATATTCTCGCCCACTTCCTTGCAGTCCAGGCCTTTGATTGGGCACCAGATCTTGCCTAGGGTTTCTGCCATCGCTTCCACGAACACCGACTTCTCAGACAACAGTTTCGCTAATGCTTGTGGTTCGACCAGACCAACCTTGCCAGATCCACCGCACTCGATCTTGACGCCCTTCTTCTCCTTCTCCGACAACTTCAAATTCTTCAACAGCCCCTCCACGCGCTCCATATCGCCTCTCGACTCCTCAAACCAGGACACCAACTAGGGGACTAAAGTGGTGTACGATCGCGTGCCCTAGATCACGCAAAAGGATTCTAGTGGATGGGTGTGGCCGGAGATCGCCAGGGAAAGGGAGAGGCGCCCGGCACGTAAACGTGAACGGGGACTCAGATGGCGGCGGGGGAAACCCTAGATCGCCCCCTGAGTCGCGAGACCGAGACCAACCGTCACGCTAGGGACGGACAACGACTACTGCATGCCGGATCCTAGAATTTATATTACAACCCTAACTTGGTTCAAAATCAAAATATCCCCTCTACTCCGAGGGTTTTGTCCCGGCTTTGTTCCCCCACAATGAAACCCTCACCCACACTCTGCATCCGGTACACCAAACCCCAATCGGCAGTTGACCAATCCCGCCGGGGACGACATGGCCCGCCGCAGCCGCCGCCGACCTTCCTCGCCGTCCACGGTAACGCCGCCTCCGCTGGAAGACGACGATCTCCTCCACGAGATCCTTCTCCGCCTCCCCCCGCAGCCGCCCTACATCCTGCGCGCCTCCCTCGTATCTAAGCGCTGGCGACTCCTTGCCACCGACCCCAAGTTCCTCCGCCGCTTCCGCGTCCGCCACCGGAGGCCTCCTCTCCTCGGCGTCTTCTCATCAGATTACAAACGGAACATTTCGTTCAGATCCACTCTGGACCCGCCGTACCGCATCCCTCCCGAGCGCTTCTCCCTGCCACTCGAGCCCTGGGCGATGCTCGACTGCCGACACGGACGCGTACTCTTCGTTGAGAAGAAGCGGCATCAGCTCATTGTGTGGGACCCTATCACTGACCACTGCTGCTTCGTTGCCGATCCGCCGCTGTTCAAGATTGGGGTCCTTGGCGGGGCAGTTCTCTGCGCTGCCGCCGACCAGGGACACGTTCATGGCGACTGCCGCTCGAGCCCTTTTAAAGTGGTCGTGCTGGGCTACGCCAAGCACGATGATCAAGAGGCGGGATGCGTTGCAAGTGTTTACTACTCGGAGACTGGCATATGGGGCGATCTCATTTCAACAACGCTTCCATGGAGGCCTGTTGCTTGTGAGTACAGCACATTTGTTGGTAACGCCGTTCACTGGATGCTTATGAGTAGTGGGGGATTGAGTGAGGGCATACTTCAGTTTGATTTGGATCAGCAGAGGCTAGCTGTGATCAATACGCCTCCTGATGTTCATTACGAATTTCACAGTGTTCAGGTCATTCAGACAGAGGATGGCGGCCTTGGCTTCGCCACTTTGTTGGGCCCCCACTATCACCCCCGCTTCCAAATGTGGGAGGGGAAGGTCAATTCTCATGGTGTTGCCATATGGGTGTTGCGGAGAACTGTTGAACTGCAGAAGATTCTTGGATTGGGGTTTAGGATTGAGAAGGGGATGTCATCTATAGTGCACTATACTGAGGATGCTCATGCAATCTTCTTTTGGGTGCACTCATTTGTCTATATGGTTCAGCTTGAGTCAATGCAGTCCAAGAAACTTTTTAGAAGCAACGGCGGGTTTTGCACCTATCGTCCTTTCACAAGTTTTTATACTGAAGGTAACTGCTGAAATCCAATTTATTCTCCATACCTGGTTGCTGGAATAACTTACTGTACTGCTGAAGTGTTTACTGTCAGCTTAAATTTCCCGAAAAACTTATATGTTGTTTTCTATGTTAGTGACGAGCATTAGCTCTTTATGGAACCACCGTGACTTACTGTACTGTTGAGTGAGGGGGAGGGTTTTTTTTTTTTTTTGAGGGAAGAATGAGGGAGAGCTTTGGAATAGTTATATCTGGTAGGAAGGAATCAACTGATTACATGCCTTAAAGTGCACACTAACCACTTTTTTTCTATTTTAAGTTCTTCAGTCCTGTGTGGTTACTGAGATTTTTGCATATTATGTATGTGTTGGTCTTAAAAAGCTGTCTCCATATATGTGAGTTGGCGATTCTGGAAGCAAGGCATCTTTTAGGAGATGGAATAATATTTTTGTTGTTACATTTTTTTACGACATTCTTTTTGCTAGTTGGATGCACAAATTTATATGTTCAGTTATCTTTGATATTCTGATTTTTTTTTCCTCCACATAAACTATGGTATGGTTGATTTGTGTGCATATTGCTACATTACTGATCTTATAGCATGTGCTATGTTTGGAATCGACAATAGACACTGAAAAGTTAGGTTGAAGCATACAAGGGCAGCCACAGCATAGGCCAAATACCATGGTCAAATTTGCTTTTCAGGCTTTGCCATCTATGCACGCCATGAGATGGTTGCCAAACCAAAATTTGTGGGAACCAGAGCAAGTAGCTGCTCTGGTACTATATTTGGCCAAGCAATAAAATATCCATCTCCAAACTGTCTTCCACATCCCTTTCTTTCTTCCTGTGTGAAGAGTGATGCTTAGTTGTCTGCCGCTGCATTCAGGGATGAGATATTTTATGTTTTGCTTATTACGGTGTGGGTCCTGCTCTAGAAGTAATTGGCATTCACCACACTGGAGAGAGATGAAATTTGGCACCAGTGACAAATGATAATGACATGGTAATTTGGCATCACTTACACTGTGGCTGCCCTGTCAAATCTGTGACCTGACTATCACATTGAAGCTTAAAGCTGGTTAGACATTTGCATCTAAAGAATCTGACGTTATTCCAATATTGTTTTTTATTTGATGTAGTGCTAATACTTACCTTCCTCTTTCCTACTAATTTCTCATTTTCTAATTATGTTTTACCAAATCATGCTGAAATGATCTGGCTTAAAATATTTACAGGTTTGATAAGTCTGAAGTTAACACTGCTGATTTACCTAATGAGCTGGATTTGTCCTCTATGCACAGGTATCAGTGGTTTGAAGCAGAAGTAGTTTGCTGGTGTACTGCAACATGGAATGCCGACTCTTGTGTAGTGACTAATGACCATCTATCGTAGTTGTCAGCTTGCTTGACTTGTACTAGAAACTATCCAGTGCTGGTGTGTTATTTTCAGCTATCCTATATGTAATCGCCAAATGAACTCTGAAATGCCTGGATAAATTCGGCAGTGTTGGGTTCCATTTTTTATCAATCCGTTGGAATCTCTTCCAGTTTGATGCCAAATTTATGTTCATTTGGGGGTGATGCAGAGCGAGAAAATCTTCTACATTTGTTTTGTTTTATTGCATCAGGCTGCTTCCATGGCCATGGCTGATGATAGGGTCTGGCCATACAAGGCGTTTACTTCGCCAGAATAGTTGGGATTCTGCGGAGTATTAAGGCGTGTCATTGGTAGATAATTCCTTCGTGTATTTAAGGATTTTAGCAAAGTTATCTACTTATCCGAATCACCCCTAGGTTGGAATAGAACAAGAGGAAGATGCTCCTGTTTTCCCTGACGAGAAATGAATTGTGTTTATCTCGTAAGAACATTATGGCAGCCATTACATCAAACAGGCCATAAACCGGCGCAAAAGCCTCGAGGACCCAGAGACAAAAGGGCACCACATGACGACTAAGTTCACAACTCACAAGTTTAACGCAACCACTGCAGATACTAGGAAGACTACACCACCAAAAGACAAAGGCCGTTGGTGATCTCGAAACAGTCGTTGACGAACAGCAGCGAAATTAACAAGAGCGGCATCACCTTTTTTAGTTGCACTTCTATCTTCAGTTACCAAGTCTTCGACACCATATCTCCACCCCTGCGATCCCTTGTAAATTTCAGTTGCTACTTGTTCAAGTAACTTTGCTCCCAGCATCAACGCCTCTTTTAGCTCCTCCTCGATCTGTAATATAGACTATCCCATGATCCAATAGCAAATTAGCTTAATAAGAATCATCGGGTCGTTATACATTTTGTGCTAAAAAATAATACTATTTCTGCACTTCCACAAAGTCCAGAAAACAGCAACAATGCCAACTAGTACCAGTCTCTTGTTTTCCTTAGGGAAGCTTTTGATCCAGCTTCCAAAACAATTGATCAAAGATAAAGGAACCAAATTTAGGCTAAAAGCACATTTTAAAAGACTCCACACCAGAGAGGCTGCAGAACATCTGAAGAACAAGTGGTCTATATTTTCATCTTGTCCACAGAAGACGCATTGTTTGCTGCTTTTCCATCCTCTCTTGAGCAAATTATCTTTACTCAATATGCTTTTTCTAGCTACCAGCCATAAAAAACCTTAATTTTGCAGGAATTTTGACCTTCCACAGAAACTTCTGAGGAAAGTTACAATCATTTTATATAATCTGCCTATATGGAGATTTTACAGTAAATCTTTTATCTGTTGTCAGAGTCCATTCCACTGAATCTCTACCTGTACCCATCTCCACCTCCTCACACCTCAATATGAGGTTATTCCACAAATCTAAAGTCTCCCCATATAAAGTTCTATGAAATTTGAAGCCCTGCCACCCTTTTTGAAGTGCCTCATCAACAGTAATATTATGACCAAAGCTTAGAAAACAAAGCCTGGGATAAGCATCTTATAAAGGTTTTTCATCAACCCAGAAATCTTCCACCTAGTGTTTCTGCCATCCCCCAATTTCTTCCTGCAGAACTTGTAAAAGTTTTCTTTAACTTTCAGGGTGCTAGTCCAAAACTGGGAGTTGCCAACACTAGACAAACAACCAGCTGACATATATTTATTTAAAAGGACAGTTTGCCATGTGCCATTTTCATTTTCCAACTTTCAGAACCATTTAGCAAGCAGAGCAATGTTCATAAATTTCAAATGAAGGATCACAAAACCCCCAAAATCCCTAGGTTTGGAGGCTTGGAGCAGGTCCTCCAATTAACTAAATGCTGTTTTCGTTTATCTTCATCTTCCTGCCAGACCAATTTGGCCCTAAAGAAATCAACTTTTTTCCAAACACCAATAGGGATGGGGTAAAAGGACATAATGAAAATAGGAATATTGGTCAAACAACAACTAAAGTGCTTCTCCCAACTATTGACCCCAGGAGTTCCCCGTGCCAACAATTGCACCTTTTTTCAATTTGTCAACCACACAAGACAAATTTTTCCACTGCCAGTCTGCCTACTTCTCCCACCAACCCTGTTTACATATCTGCGATAGGAAGGTCGATTGCTATGGTGTTGCCGTATGGGTGTTGCGGAAATCGATTGATCTGCAGAAGCTACTTGGGTTGGGGTTTAAGATTGAGATGAAGAGGTCATGTATACTGCGTTATGCTGAGGATGTTCGTGCATTATTTTTATGGGTGCACTCAGCTCTCTTCATGATTCAGCTTGAGTCAATGCAGCCCAAGGAGCTTTTCAAAAGCGATAATGTGTACACCTATTATCCTTTCACAAGTTTCTACAATGAAGGTAACTGTTGGAATTCAAATTTTTTTCCATGTATGGTTGATGGAATACATTACTGTACTTTTGAAGTGTTCAAAATCTCCCAATGAACTTATTTATAGCCATGTTCGTTTCTATGTTAGCGACTTGAGCATTAGCTATCTGCAAAACTAGCATGGTAGTGTACTATTGTTCTTTTGTACCACTACATGTGAATTGCTGAATCAGGGAGCCTTGGCTCAGTGGTTGGGCATGTGGTTGTGCAGCCTAATGACCCGAGTTCAATTTCTAGAATTGACAGGTGATGCACAGGGGTTTTCCCCCATTTATTGAGGATCAAGTTTGGTGTGAGGTGGAACCACTCATCAAAAAATATCTTGATACTCATTTTTTAAAAATTCTGAGGACCATGTTTATCTTGGTACTCATACTAAAATGACCGTATGCATCCCTAGTTGGTGCAGAGGTCGGGAAGTGAAATTCTCCCCCATTTAAAAGGGGCATGAATTATTCCTTTGTGTGCCCCGTCCCCGTCCCCCGCGTCCCTCTGTGAGGCGACTCGGGGGAACCCTAGCTCCCTCCGCCGCTGGCCCTCAAACACCCTCCCTCCCCTCGCGCCGCCGCCGAGGGACACAGTCGGGCAAAGCCCAGGCAGTGTCGGTGGCGGCGGGGCCTCTCCCTGGCGTGTCTCTCTCTCTCCCCTGGCGGCGGGGCGAGTTCTTCCGGCGGCGGCTTGGCAGCGTGGCGCGGCGGCTGTGGCTTGGGGCCCTTGACCCCGATTCGATCTGGATCTGGTGGTGCTTGGGTCTGGGCCATGGGGGCTGGCGTGGTGTGGTGTTCGTCGGGGCTTGTCGGTCTCTAGGCACCATGGGGGTGCCGGCGGCGACGCGTGCCCGGCGTGATGACGCTGGTGGACGTGGTGGTCATCTTCTTCCAGAGATGGCCGGCCAGAGGCTTGGTGATCGGATCTCGAGATCCATCGTCTTGTCCCGGCTGCGAGTAGGGGAGACATGGTTGCCGGTGAAAACCGAGCCGACGGCAGGCGATGGCGGCGTTCTCGCCGTTACCTTGATGGAGGCATCATCGTGTAACTACTGTCGACCCACTCGTGCTGCTCCAGGGGAAACCCTAGAATCTGGTGTTCCAGATCGGACGATGGCGGCACTGCGGTGTCGTTCCTCTCTTGGGAGCATCGTTTGCGGAGCAGCGCTGGAAGTCAGAGGCAGGAGGTGGAGCGGCTTCGTCTTGCACGGAGCTTCGGTGGAGATGTCAAGTCATGCCTGACCGACAGGTGCTACGCTTTGTCATGCCTGGTCGGCAGGTGCTACGCACGACAGATCTTCCAAGGACTTCAAGCTGTGTCGGCTGGTGGTTCTTGGCAGCATGGCGCTGAGGTGTATCAGTGGCGACCGCGATGTGCTCAGCTGTTTGCGTGCAGAGAGGAGGTACCGTTGGGCGCCGTGGTGGCGTCGACGATAGCTAGACCGAGCAAAGTTGATGCATCAGTACAGTTCTGAAGATGGAGCGGTGGCAGTTGGCGGCGGCGGCCTCTGAGAGCACGCCGGACCAATGTATGCCCTAGACCCGGCAAGTGGCTAGGTTGGGGTCTCGGGTATTAGATGTTAGGCTTGGCTGCGATGTCTGTTTGGTATTAGGCCCAGGCTATCTGTGCCCCTTCATCAACTGGATAGGTGTAGCGACAGTTTGTTGCTTAGACGGCGGCTTTAGTCTTACTGTTGTATGACTTTGTAAGGTCTTGTGAGAATATTTAATAAAGTGGCCGTATGCATCACCCAGATGCAGAGGCCGGGGGTCATCCTCCTTTTCTAAAAAAAGGAAACAAGCCATCTCGTAGGAGAAGGAATAATACTTCTGTTGTTGGTTTCTTTTACAACATTTGTGTTATTAGCTGGACCCTGCAATTTATATTTCTGATTTTGTTTGATGCTCTGTTTTTCTTTTCTTGTGCTTGTGTACAGTACAGGCAGGTCATATCAGGCTATAAAAGAGAGAAATTAGCAAGATAATAAGACCAATGATTTCTGCACCAGCTTGAGGCCTTTCTTACTTGCTAAATTAGCATTTACATTTTAACTCTATAATTTCCTTGTTTGACAGATCAATTCACTTTTGACATTACCAATGTTATTTTTGTGTGGCCATGAATTATGTGGTTGCCGCCAGATTTAATATACTACTTAGTGCCTAATAGATGTAAAATGGTGATGCTCATACTGGGGAGTTTCAGTCAGTAATAATACAAGAAAAGATTGCTTTTGTCCTCCATGTAATTATTCTATGATAGATCGGTGGTTTTTATGTGTATATTACTACTGATCTTATAGCATACTTAGGTTGAAGCATGATATGACCAATTGTAATTGGCAACATGATACACTGAATAATTAGTTTGAAGCATGGTATGGCCAATTTGTAACCTAACTAGTCCATTCAAGCTTAAAACAAGTTACACGTTTGCATCTAAAGAATATACGTCGTTTTCAAGATAGTTTTCTATTTCAGGTAGATCATGTGTTAATATTTACCTTTCCTCTTTCGTTCTTATTTTCCATTTTC